AGGAATAAGGGTTTAGAGGTGCCAAAAGATAAATTTCAGTATTTTAAATTTTCTTCACCTTTTGTTCATTTTGGGTTTCACACTTCCTCGATACCTTTCAACCATATATCAAACATAAAGGTGTTCCTGTATCAGGATACACTTTACTTTTATCTCTGAGTTGTCGTTATCTTGGTCTTCGGTCTTCGGTCTCTTCGCTTGGCTCTAAGTAATCCGAGTAGAGGGGGAGTGCTTGCAAAAGACATCCCGATACTCAAGTAAGTGATCGATGTAATAAATGCAGTAGTTCAAGTTAGTTACGTACCTCGTTGAGGGTCTATTTATAGTGGTCGTTATTGGGCCGCGATTAGGGAATGAGCCCCTGGAAATTAGGGGGTTAAATCAGTGTATTAGGTAAATTAATCTCTCATTAATTTACCTAGCTCGACTCCGTGTCTTCGAGTATGCGAATCCCGCTAGCCAAATCGGTCAACCCCTATTTTACCGAGCCGACCGATCCGGCCGTGCTAGGTGTAGGGATAGCAAATATACCCATACCCGCGGGTAATACCTGAATCCGTCCCGACTTTGACGGGGAATACCCGGTTTGACCGGGTACGGGTACGAGTACGGGTAAAACCCGATATATTAAATCGGGTATGGGTACGGGTACGGGTATGTACTTACCCGCCCCGTACCCGTACCCGTCCCCGTTTCCATTTTTAATTTAATACTCACTTTTAATTTAATTATATTAAAAAAATTAATATTTTTTATGTGTGATTATTTATTATAATATGAGATAGAAAAATAACTTAATTATAATTTAATATAATAAAAAAAATTAAAAATAAAAAAATTGACGGGTACGGATACGGGTACGGGTATACCCGATACCCGACGGGGACGGGGATGGAGATGAAAACCACATACCCGACGGGTACGGGGACGGGGATAGATTTGACTCGCGGGGACCGGGACGGGTATCATAAAACCCGTACCCGCCCCGCCCCGTTGTCATCCCTAGCTAGGTGTACTCGGCCAGGTCGACCAAACTAGATGTGATCGACCTGGCCGGTTATCTGGTATAAAAGGTATTCAAGCCATGCTTGGCCATCTGTATATATTTCTCATAACATTGTTAAGACAGACTTTCAGATAGAGCACTTCTTGCTCTTTAAAGGCATGGCATTTTCAACCAAAAAGGAGGATGAATGTCCTTGACTATTCAACCAAAAAGGAGGATGAATGTCCTTGACTAAACAAATGCTTCATTTTGAATTCTTATATGCTGTTTACTTGGGTAAAGTAGTAAAGGTAAGGATTCATTTGGTGTCATGCTGACTTAGTGAGAGTGTATAAATGGTGTAATTATTCCTTCCTAAATGAAAGAAACCACCACTGGATTAAATTATGCAAAATATTTTCAAGCTGGTACTACTTTGTCTCTAATTATAAATGGTGTAATATAGGAACTCACCAAATGTCCTGTGATAGTCTTTTGCACCCAAATTCTAAAATATGGATTAACCAAAACCAATGAGCACCATAACACTTTGTATTCGCCTACCCTTATGATTTGCGAGAGATGTCAAGTTCAAGGTTTGTGCCTTCCAACTAAGGAGATACATCGCTTAATTCATAAGCCATAGTTGCCTTCTTTGATAAATAAAATTTATGTCACGTTTAATATATCTTATGAGACGAAAGGATTTTTTTTGTCACTGTTAAAGCTTTTTTTAACAGTGTAGGTTTTAGATATCCCCCAACCTTAGAATACCTAAATTCTAATTAAGGATAAAATTGAGGTTCGGCTTTACAAACGTTCATTAGAGAACGTGTAAATTCTTTCCTAAATTTTTTCTCTTTTCCCCAAGTCTCCAAAGAAAATGATTCCTTGCATTTCCCACGTCTTTTGCCTTTTACATATTCCTTGCCCGTGTAAGGCATGTACAGATAGATTCCATTCGTAATCCACTTCCTTAAAACAAAAGGCATATATCTTGGTCTCTCCAACTTTACAGCTCCATGCCTCCATGGCTCGGGAATCGCAGGTAATAATATCCAGTTTGGTTTTTTTTGTGATTTTTGATCAATTTAAGCATGTGGCAAGCATTCTTTTTAAGAGTGGCTAATCCATCAAATGCAGGCACCTCGTGTCACACAGATACAGGTCCGAGTGGACTGTAACGGCTGCGTGCAGAAGATAAAAAAAGCACTAAATGGCATTCATGGTAGGTATATACATGAGTTTCTCTTCCAAATGACGCAGCAACATCACCAGACTATTGATGAAATTTATCCTTTTGCAGGTATACATGATCTTCGTGTTGACTTACACCGACAAAAGCTCACAATTATTGGGTGGGCAGATCCAGAACAAATCGTCAAAGCAATTAAGAAGACAAAGAAGAATGCCACCATATGTTCTAGCATTGAACTAACTTCTCCATCTAGACCAAGAGAACCAGAACCAAAAGAAAATGCACCAGCCCCTGATGCAACACAACCACCACCAGCACAGGCTCCACCACCATCAGAACCATCACCTGAAGCAACACCATCTCACATACCTACACGGCACAGTGCAACCCGACAGTTGCAGAACACAGGAACAGAAGAACTAGAACAGTTTCATGTGACACACCATCATCTGCCTAACTATATTAGCAGATTCAGTTCCGGCCACCATCATGTTGAGCACTGGCACAAACACCATAATGGCCCTGTATTTCTACAGGAGCCATCCCAATCCATGTATGTGACACACAGCTATAATACACACATGCCTTCATCATTCGTCACTGAATACGAATATGTCAGATCACCATCAAGATACACACATTACAATAGTATAGAACACTACGGTGGAGATTACCAAAACAGTAATGTAAACATCACTTCCATGTTCAGCGATGACAATCCAAATGCATGTTGCATTGTCTAGTTAGGGTGTCGAGCTACTTATGAAAAGTAAATAGAAAATCTCTTGTGCTTTCAATTGTATTGATAAGTGAGTTGTCGAAGACGATTCGTAAAACCATATAATTTGAAAATAGAAAATAAGAATACTTTAGTTTGCATGAAATCACTATGATGCGAGACTGGATAATATTCCTAACTTCTGGGTGCTAGAAAAAAATATTCTGGATTCGTTTCGTGAGAACCAAAAAGCACAATGAAAAATAGTAATAAAAACATGTTCGGGTAAATATATGTCAATGTGGTCGAAATATATCTGCCAGTTAATTTGCTACATGTAGGCCAATTTGGGGTATGCAAAACTGGTATCATGAAAACAAAGCTGTTGTAGATCTGGAGGAAACAATTTCTTAATCGGAGTGTTTTGAGAATGCCTTCAAGAATTTAGCAAAATATGCCCGAGCTATATCTATTTTTACTTATCAGTAAAATTCTCAAATTACATAATTATGGCTGAATCATTTTTAACAAATCTAGACAACACCAAAAATTCTCTCTGAGGAAGTATCTATCTATATAGCAACAAAATTGTGAACAAGAAGCAGGGTGAAAATACAGCTTCTATTCCTCTATCTTTGTCAGCCGCAAAAGAGACAACTCAGAACCCAATCTATAAAGTGAATCACAAACAGTTAATAATAAAACTCAAATTACAATTACCAATTCACTAAAAAATAATAAACATCCGATTAATAACCATATATGGACTTATTTGATAGCTAGAATTATGAACATCACGAGACAATACCATAATTTTTAGGGTAAAACAAAAAAGAAGATTGAGAAACAAATAACCAAACATGTCAACAATTTGGATACTGTATATACAGATTAGTTCTCCAAAGAAACAATTGTAGATAGTAACCACTAGTTGCAAAATAGTCTTTTATTATGATATCCTAAGAAGCAAAGAAGAAATTATTTTGGTTAATTAAAATTTACATGAATCTAACTAAAGAAAGATCCTCCTTGAGTTTTAAGAATTAATGACGTGGAAAAGGTATATAGGCAATAAGTAGCAAGAGACAACAATACATTATCAACAATAATTTAAGCAATCTAGAAAGCGGATTCTAGAATCCCAAACATAAGCAGAAATATGATATGAAGTATCAGAATGGGTGTCTCCAAACTCGGTTAAGATCATCTTTATCCAACCACATTTATCTAAATTTGGAATGAAAAAATGCATGTCATAAAAACTTTAATGTATGCAATTACCTCAGAAAAAATTCCAACTAGCTTTCATCATCAGTACTTATTTCAGAAGCATCATCTTCCTTGTGATAATATTCATCTTTATCTTCATCTTCATCTTCATCTTCATCTTCATCTTCATCTTCATCTTCATCTTCATCTTCATCTTCATTTTCTACCTTTTCTTCTGCTTCATTTTCTTCAGCTGGAAGTTCATGCACCGAATGACTTATAGTCTGAGAAGCCTTGTCAACCTGAAAGTAAATTTAATAAGGCCCCTGAAAACCAATATCAACAGAATGCCAAACTAATTTTAAATTGTGACTATACCTGTGATGTCACCAGTTGTAGACGACCTGATAATTGTAACAAATGCTGAAGAGTATCACCTCTAGATTTGGTAATCTGAAAAGTCGTACACAATAATTCAAATTCTCAAAAATTTATCAAAGTAAAGCCATATCACTCAAACAGAACCAGAAAATCAGAATGACCTGTAGAAGCAAATTTGACAAAGAAACAAATCAGAGTAACTTTAGTTTTATTAAATAAATACTAATAAATACCCAATCAGTACAAAACATCCCATTGTTCCTAACCTATATCCTATTTTTATCCTTATACCATGCGTTTATTCATATTGTGCCACAACAAATCACGTTTTTATTCCCACCCCAGAAGAACTGCTAAAGGAATATTGTTTTATAAAATCAGACTATGATGACATGTTCAAGTTTCAGTTTTTTGACAGGAAATTTAGAATAAATGTTCAAAACTATAAATGCACTTTAAGCAATTAATCAGGCATTGCAGTTTCGTTATGTTGACTAGAAATTGATAAAATAAATAAATAAAAAACAAACACACATTAGAAAAAGAACAAATTACAACATAAATGGCATAAGCCATGTCAGATATTGCTATGCATAACATAATATAATATTAATCAGCTAACTAGGCATCATAAAACAAAGATAAGCCGATATAAATTAACTGATCCTTTTGCCATTTCATTATCTTCCAAGTTTTTCTATTAAAAAAGGAATAATAGGATATTAATGAAGCATTCATTATACAAGAAGGAATAATAGCCTGATCTGCAGAAATAAATTAGGAGAAGTATATTTAGATTTGAAATTTTCATATTGAAAATAAAGCATGATGAATTTAAAGTTGAGATAGCAGATACATGCAAATAAATGAGAAAGCAAAACTTGAGATAGCAGATACCTTGTCTAAGGAATCAAGAGTATGCGTCACAGATTCCTGAGCAGTTACATTGTGACCATGATTCACTAATATGCTATATATCCACGGAAGAATATACTTTCCACTAGATGACCTGTTGAATAAGGATTTACAAATGTCAAGAAAACAAATAATGTTAGATATCATAATCTGCTTGTTTTTGCTGTCTCTCTGCAAATTTTTTAAAACAGGAAAAAATGCAGAAATGGTGGTATTTTTCTAATTATTTCTGAAAAATTGTTTTCTGAAACCAAACAGGACTTACACAGTTACACTAAATAGCATCCTTCTTAATATGATTCTGAGCTATCATTTATTCCCATTCTTCTAAAATACTTGAGTTGATGAAGTATTTATCATCAATAGATAAAATTTAAGTTTGAGAATTGATAAACATTATCATTAATACAGTATTCTGCCAGTAACATCATGTTAGGAGTTGATTTCAGAGCATTCCAGCAAAGGCAAGACACCTTACAGAAGAAAGCCCAATAAAAGAAGCCAAACCTTGATTGCCATGCAGCCAGTAACACTTCTAGTAGCTTGAATGCCTCATTTGACTCCATAGACAAAACAGCCGCTCTCATCTGATTAATGGATTTTAAATTCAGGTGCATAAACAATTACATGCAACTTTTAAAAAATATGGGCAATTAATATAATAACAATGACAATTAAAAATGTAAATAGGTAAAACAAATAGAGCCAAAAGATGTATAGCAATAGCTTCCACTGTCTTAAAAACACAAACAGTCACATCATATCATAACTTACCTTTTTCACCGGAACAGTAGCTTCCAGATCAATAGCCTTTAACAATGTAGAGCAAAGTTCAATGTTTGATGCATATTCACTTTCACTGGGAAGAATCCCTAGTGATCTCAGCCGGTCCTCCATGCAAATTACATCAGTCTGACTTTGGGCCATGTCATCTGCATAGATCGGTAAAATCACAGATTAAGCAAAACAGAGAATTGTCAACCCATCTTCTTTGTGTACACTTAGTAGCAGCAATATACAGAAGACAAGGACAAATTATATTAAAAACACATCCCATTTGATGGAGGAAATGCCAATCAGCCAATGCCATTTGCAATGGCAAGAATGCTACCACATTGACTGGGGTTGGGGGAAAAGTTACAATTCATAAGCAATTACAATTCCTAAATATTTTTTATTGAAAGGTGAAACTGTGCTGTTAGCCTTAAAATAGTGGCATTCAATATAAGGAGTTTAATGGTTCAGTTTTTATACGAAGTTTTTACATAAAATGTCTGATGAGATTGCATACTAGTGATAATTACAAAGACATTTAGATAGCTTTTAAACAAACATTCAATAGCATCTAACTACATTCATTAGATTGTCCTTTAAAAAATGTTTAAGATTATGAATAGAAAAATATATGAAATGCACTGCTATTATATAGTAAAACAAGAATTTATACTACTCAGATACAAAAACACAAACACAAATACCTAGAAGTTAATCAACCACGAGAATCTTGTTCTGCATACTCTGCATTAATTCAACAACTAGAAATTTGTTCTACATACTCTGCATTATTTCAACAACTACAAATTTGTTCTACATACTCTATGTAAGGGTCCATGCAGGGTGAACTGGTTATATAGACAAATGAAATTTCCATATTGAAATATTGAAATTGATTAGCAAGAAAATAGGGTAATAACTAATAAGCCAAAAAGAATATGTTCAGTCTCTGTAATAATTGATTCATTAATCAATCATGCATTTGTTCAAGAGAAAATGGTATAAATACCTTTTATCTCAATATAATCAGCTTTACTAGTTCTATCCGAAGATTTTTGAAATGCTTTCCCTTTCTCATCAGAATCGAAAACCTTAGGAATTGGAAGCAAGGCATCCTCAGCATTAGCTCGATCTAGTGTAGTAACTGCCAAAACATACGAATAGCAGTTAGTAATTTAAAATAGGATCAGGAATACAATTACTAAGAAATATAAGATCAGCTTATTTTAGAGGATAAATTCAAAATTAGTTATAGGATCAGATAATAAGATTATGAGCACCTAAGCAAGCAATGAAAAATATTGTTTTAGGGATCCCACCTTACTCAAACTATTGAAATACTTTATTGACAAAAATAATCAAAATAAACAAATGCTCATGAAAAAGAGTTGATCAAAGGCGCAAAGAATCTTACCCGTTTGTGTATTTAACCCCTTAGATTTGACAAGAGATTGATTCTTTGGAAGAAGAACACCATCGTGGGAGACATTCAACTTTACATCCGTACCAGAATGCACTATAATTTTTCTAAACGATGGTTTTACAAGCAAACCATAAACAAGAAATACCTGCCCAGAAGCTGGCTTCTGGATGCCTTGCAATTTTGCAGCATAAATAGCTGGCAGAGCTCCCTTGAAATTTCTGGAGGACATGTCTTCTAAAGATAATGATATTTTTGTGGGTTTTGCATTACGTAGTTCTTCAATACTATTTCCAAACCATAAATAACAAACACCAGTTTCTGTGATGGCCAAAACACACATGCCAGCCTCATCATGCTCCCCACTATCAATGCACCTGCTATCAAGAAAGACAGCAGGGTGCTCCATCGCAAGAACACAACTAGCTGACTGCTTTTTTGCACTATCTATCCTCCAAACAGCAACATATCTTTCACCAACAGCAGATGAGAGGATATACTTGCCATCTTCAGTGAAAACCATGCATCGAACGGATCCCTGTTAATTAAACTAAAAACAATTGTTATACAGACAACAGAATCATCACAAAGATGATTTTAAAAAAATGCCTGATTTTAGGACAAATTAAAAGAGCACTGGTAGAGTATATGCATGTATACAGGGAAATATATATGAGACTCACAGGATGACCAGAGAACTTTTGAATCTTTTTGTGGTTAGAACAATTAAAAATCTTCAGTTGTGCTGCTGCAGTAGCCAACGTCTTCCCATCTGACATAAGTAAAGAAGCAATTACCAAATCAGTAATCAAAATAGAAGTAATAATACCTACAAATTGGATATTCATCAAAATCATATATTTCGCTGAAGCCCTTTTGACTCATTGCACCATGAGGATTATTGCTAACAGTTTAGCATCCATTCAATAAATATGGACCCAAAAAGATAAACAGCTTTTTATTCTAATAATAACAAAAGAACTATCTTTGAGAGTAGATGACCTCCTTGACTAAATTTGGATCATTCATCATTGAACCTTACAATTAAGAAATTGAGCTTTCTATTTGCAAATTTACTTTTAATCACAATGCACAAGAAGCTTAAATAAATTCCAGGGGGTAACTCAATACCACACACCATGTTCAAATGTCTACTTCATATTAATTTAGCCAAGACAGGAAAGGCATTGATTTCAGTTCCTCCGCCATTAAAATAAGGCTGTGAAGGATACATACCTGGAGAAACACACATGCAGGACACGGCCTTTGTAGAAGCTTTAAATTTCTCCAACAGGTTTCCTGTCATGAAATCTATGACACATACCATCCCATCTGCACCAGCAGTATATATGCTTGACCCGTGTGCAGAAGATGCAATGGTTCTCACACCTCTGCAGTTGAGTTGAGCGAACAAGAAAGAGAGAAATTAGGAACTATTGATTGGAGTCACCATTTCCAATTATCATGGATTTACATGATTTTAAAATCTTAAGAGCATTAGGGCCAAAATCATCCATCAAAACACAGTAATAAATTGAACAAAACTTCGGTTAAGTAGTGCTTTTTAGTGTTGTTCTCCAATCAAATTTAGAGTTTCACCTTCACAATTCGCACAGTTAATGTCAGCCTCACGGAGGTGCAACTTCAATTTTAATCAGAGAACAATATTAAAACCAACTAAGCTACTACTACAGCTAAGCTTATTAAGGGGGAGAAAAATCTGATATCTAACCCTGGATGACAATCATTAATTCTCCAACTCAATTGACCAGCAGCTACGTCAAGTGCTAAAACATCACCACTACCAGTTCCAAGCACTAACAATGAGGATGCATGCTTCCTTTTCCTCTGCAATAACTGAGCACCACAGCTTTTTCAATCCACACAATGGGATGGGCAACTTCAAAAACATCTCATCTAATCCTAGTGATCAAATTTGGTCGCTTGTAATCGGTATAGCTCGACCTGGCCCCTATACCGTGGTCGCTTTGTACACGTGTGCCTCGACTAAGTTGTCCCTTGGAGTGGACATTGTGTTGTTCTCCTCTAGTACTTAGTTGGTCCCGTGTGTGTGCAAGGTCGAGACACACGTGTACAAAGCGACCACGGTATAAGGGCCAGGTCGAGCTATACCGATTACAAAACGACCAATTTGAGTAAAGTACGAGGTTGTGAACTTAGTTCCTAATCGAGTATCAAAGGGTTGTAGTATCTAGAGGATAGTCAGTAGGTTAATCTCATAGATGGCTTAGTTAAGCTAGCTAATGTCGTGGTAGGCCTAAACCCAGCTGTTCTATCCTGACATAGTACTATACTTCCTTGTTTAAGTGGCAAAGTTTGAGAAATCGTTATCATGTTGTGGATTGGCATCCAAATTTGTTGTTTACCTAACAAGCCCAAAAAGGTTCTTTGTTGTCGGTTCGGTAGAACCTAGCCACTTAAACTGCTCACCCGTGTTATAGGAGATCTCCGAATTGAAATGCGTGACGACGCATAAGTTGTTGATGTGTTTAATTGATGATTGATATGAGCTGTATATGTGTTGTTGTGTTGTGAAGTTGTGATTGAGTTATGTGTTGTTATGTGTTGTATGTTAACCCTGTTGAGGATGATGATAGTGTTGTTATGTTGTAAGTTGCTTTTAAACATGTGTTGTTGAGAGGTGTGCAATACATGTGTCGGTTGTTGTTATGATGAATATGGTAACTATTCCAATGGTTTGTACAGTAGCTGCATTGAAGTATTGATACAGTGGCACTACAAGAAAAATGCTGATTTCCGACGGAAATTTCCGACGAAAATAGGTAAATTTCCGACGGATTTTGCTTTTTCCGACGGATTTCAATCCGTCGGAAAAAGTGGCGTCGGAAAAAAAATCCGTCGGAAATAATTTTTTCGACGGAATTTTCCGACAGAAAATTCTGTCAAAAATTTCCGACGGAAAAATCCGTCGGAAATTGCTGTCAAATTTTCCGACGGAATAATCCGTCGGAAATTATAATTTTTTTTTTAATTTTAATAAATTTATTAATGTAACAACTCTCATATTTGGCTTCTCAAGGGTTCACAATATTTCACTGTTTAGCGTGTTTTATTCTTACTTGTGCAATTTCTGGGAGACTTCCCAGAAGGTCACCCATCCCAGTACTACTCCAGGTCAAGCACGCTTAACTGTGAAGTTCTGATGAGTAAGCTACCGAAATGTCTATGTATGTTGTCAGTATAACTTGTACAAATTAATTCATTTAAGTCATCCTCAAATATACAATCTCATATTTGTACTATAATAATAATATATAATAATTTTATATTACGAATAATAATAATAATAATAATAA